AAGGCGCTGGAGCTAGTGTCTAAACCCTCCGAGAGGGCACAGGTTCGATTCCTCTCATGTCGAAACTTTGTGAGGACAAACGCGGCATAGCTGACCGGCTCAGCGCCAATCCAAGCCAATTCCTTCGGGAACGCCTAATAGAATCGCCAAGGCTTCGGCACAGGCCTCCCCGGGACCCATTCACTACTAGTGGGGGGTACTGCACTTGGCGCGTCGGGCAGATCAAATAATGGTCTAAAGCTAGACGTTAAAACCGGGAAGTTAAGCTTGTGGAGGCTCTTCCCCACCTTTACCTTTTTTACCTTTTGCCTGCCAGCTATCTGCAGCTGCAGGAATTCCGCATTTTGAAGTGTGGAACCCCACAGCCAGGCACTGCCGCGCACCTGGCGAGTCCGTGCAGGTGACTGCGGCGGCTTCGCCACTGCATGTGGTGTACTCGAAGCCGCACTCCAGCAGCGAGCCGCTGTCGGGGCTGCACGAGTTGTCTCCAAAGAGGAAGACGGTATTGGAGGTGCCGTCCTGGGTGTCAAAGGGCACTGGCGGCGCAACCGCGGCGGTGCCGCCCAGCCAGCCGGCCTGGCGGCACGCAACCGCGGCCGCCCGAGGGCCAAAGCCCGAGCTGCACACGGGGCGCCACTGGCCGTACCGCAGCACCTCCACGCGGCCGCTGGCAAGGGGGCTGCCGCCTCCGTCGGTGGTGCCGTTGGTCACGCGGATGGAGGCCCTAAGGATGGGTGGCTCTGCACCACGGCAGAAGCGGAGGCCAGGTTCAGCCTGTTGGCTGCTCAGCGTGGATGCGGCAGCTTCACCGGCACAGCCGCGCCCCCGCCAGCTGCTCTCTCACCAGCATCGCTTCCCTACCCCACCCCTGCCACACACAGCGGGGCAGAACCCTGTGCTGCCCACAGCCTCGCCTGTTTCGTTGAAGCAGGCCACGCCCAGCTCTTGGTCTGTGCCGCTGCCAAAGGGCCCAGGGCCGGAATAGCAATCAAAGAGGGAGGACTCGCCCCCCAAGCAGGACAAGCCGTCCCAGGTGGCGGTGCCCATGGCGCGGAAATAGGAGTTGGAGTAAGGGCCCTCTGCCAGGCCGCGGGCGTAGCCCAGGGAGCGGCACGCCGCCTGGGCCACTGCGGAGGCGTTTGTGGCACTGTGGGACACCACACCCCAGGCGCCAAGACGCCACACCTCCAGCCGGCCCTGGCTGGGCAGGGAGCTGCCCGACAGGCGCAGGTGTGTTGGGGAGGGGGGCAGGGCTGCACCAGCCATGGGGGGTGGGGGGGCACGTGGGCGGGAGATTGGAGGCGGGATGTGTGGGCTAAGGATGTGCCCCGGCGGGCCGCCGCCGGTGGGGAGCAAGCAAGCACACCTCCCTGTGCGGCAGCGGCAGCAGCCGCGAGAGGGGCTCACCTTTGGAAGGGGAGCATGTCAGGGAGAGCTGGCCGCTGCTGCACCAATCAGTGCCGGGGTTCACGCCAAATGTGCCGCGCTCTGTGAGGGAGATGTGGTCAGGGTTGTAATCCCTGTCGGCAGCAAGTGGATGTGAGACGCGTGTGTGAGGTGTGTGGTGGCCAGCAGGGAGCAGGGGCGGCGCACGGGTGCGGTGGTCGGCAGCACGAGGCACGTGCGAGGCGGGACAGCAGTGCCAGCCCACGCGTGCACCGAGCAGCCACCCCGCCAAGCAGCCCAGGCTGTTCGACTCCGAGTCCCGGGGAGTCCCGGGGCAGCGGGCTCACCAGTCCCCCCAGATGCCTGCGGCGCCGGTGGCGCTGGGCGGGAAGCTTCCGTACAGGGCAGGGAGCAGCACCTCTGCGGCAGCTGGGCCGCCCACCCAGCCTGCCTGCTGGCACGCCACCCACGCTGCCCTGCCCTGGAACGAGTCACGGCACACAGGCCACCACTGGCCTGCGTGCAGCAGCTCCAGGCGGCCCTCGTTGGGCACTGAGCCGTTGAGCAGGCGCACGGCTGCGGCCAGGCTGGGGCGCTCTGCACGGCAGACCGCAAAGGGAGGGGCTGCGAATGTTGCCCAGGCAGCTGCAGCACAGGCGGCGGCAGGCGAGGGAGCTCCTCGAGGCGCAGCCAGCCCTGTGCAGGCCCCAGCAGCTGCAGCTGCCCAGCGCTCACCGCCATCGGGGAAGCACTCCACCCCCAGCTCCTTGCGGGGGCCGCCGCTGTACAGGCCGCCGCTCCAGGATCGGTAGCCGGTGGGAAAGGTGCAGTCCAGGATAGAGGCCTCCTCCCCCGTGCAGTTCAGGCTCTCCCACACCACGTTGACATTGGGCATGCTGTAGGCGTCGCTGGTGGAGATGATGCTCTGGTTGTAGCCCAGCATGCGGCACGCCACACGCCCAATGGCGCCGGCATCCAGCCCCGAGCCGGGGAACAGGTAGAAAGTGCTGACTGCGGCCCACACGCCGTCACGCCACACCTCCACACGCCCCGCCGACGGCCTGTCGGTGCCCGACAGGCGCAAGGGCATCGAGGGCAGGTCTGCAGGTAGGGCAGGAACAGCAGGAACAGGAGCGGGTGGGTTGGTGGGATGGGGGAGAGAGGGCACAAGGGCGGCCAGTCAGCAGGCAGCGAAAGGCGAAAGGCGGGGATGGGATTGGGGCGGGGCGGGGCAGCCAGGCCAGCGGCGCTGCCTGCCCACCTGCGGGCGGGGGGCACGTCACTCCGGCCGACCCCAGCCCCGCGTCCGCGCAGCTCGGCTGGAAGTCGTAGAGCTGTGACACGTGGCAGTCCAGCCAGGAGCGGGTGCCAGCGTAGCAGCCTTCGGAGTCGGTGCTCTGCAGTGGGTGCAGCCCTGGCTTCGCGGATCCGCTGCCGGCGGCGCCTCGCCAAACTTGCCGTACGGCTCAGCCACCCCCGGGCCGCCGGTGGCCAGGCCCAGCATGGCGCACACCACGGCGGCGCCGCCTGCGCCGAAACCGTTGGAGCCGCGGCAGACGGGCACCCAGCCGCCTTGGAACTTGACCTCCACCCGCCCCTGGAACTCGTCGGAGCCGTTGACAAGGCGTGCGGCGCCGGAGAAGCGGGGCTGGTCTGCGGACAGGCGGCCGTATGGCCATGCATGCCATGGAGCATGTGGATCAAGGAGGGTGCGGGCGATCGCCGCTTGCGAGCAGCGCACTCGCGGCAGGCATCCTTGCGCTGGGCAACAGCATGCCTCGCACCACCGCCGCCACCCGCACCGCACCACGCCGCGCCGGCCAACCCGACACGGCGCGCCCCACCACAACGCGCCCTGCCCACACCCTGCACCCACCTGGCCCATTGGCACACGCCACTGCCAGCTCGCTGGGGTTGTTGGTTGCCCACCCGGTCACCGAGCAGTCATCGGTGGAGGCCTCCTCGCCGGTGCAGTTCATGCCAGACCACTGGGGGGTCTTGAAAGGAGACAGGTAGCCACTGGTGGCGGACACCGCGCTGAGGTTGTAGCCCAGCATACGGCACGCGGTCCTGGCAATGGCAGCGGCATCCACCGCCGTCTCCGACCACACTGCAGCCCACAGGCCGGAGCGGAAGACCTCCAGGCGGCCGGCGGCGGGCGAGTCGCCACCAGCCAGGCGGACGGGCACGGCGGGCACCTCTGCAAGGGGCGCAGACGGTCAGCCCGGCGGGCAACCGGCCAGGGTGTGGGCAGCGAGCGGCAAAAGGGAGCAAAGGCCAGACAAGCACGAACCAGCTTGGTACCACGTGTGTGGTAGGAGGGCCAGGGGTGTGTGTGTGGAAGGCACACGACAGCCCCGCCACGGGTGCTTGCCCAAGCAATGGCTGCCCTCACCTGTGGAGTTGAAGCAGGTGACTGCAGACATGCCGTCCCACGAGCACCCGCTGGGCCCCCACCGGTTCTCGTACAGCAGGGTGGGGAAGTCGGGAGTGTACGAGTCGTCGCCCCACAGGCCCACGCCGTTCACGGTGGTGTCCGGCGGGGCGCTGCCAAAGGTGTTGGTGGCCTCGTGCTGTGCGACGCCCCCCACAAAGCCCAGCTGGCGGCACACGATGGCGGCGGCGCGCGGGCCAAAGGTGTAGCCGCACACCGGCCGCCACTCGCCGCTCACCAGCACCTCCACCCGCCCGCTGGCGGGGGTGGTACCGTTGACAAGGCGGGCGGTGGGCTGGGGTGGAGGCGAGGGCAAGGGTGGCGGGCTGCAAGGCACGGGGAAACAAGAGGCGAGGAGAGGCTCAGGAGGGTGGGCAGGGTGGTGCTGTCGGCATGCTTGCCATTCGGCAAGGCTTGTCGTGATGGTAGGCAGTGTGTAGGCAAGTGAGCGCACCTAGGGGGCGGTTTTGGGGATGGTGGGCGAGGAGATGGTGGCGGTGAGGGGCGAGGGGGCGGTTTTGGGGATGGTGGGCGTGGTGGAGGGCGAGGGGATGGTGGGCGTGGGCGTGGTGGAGGGCGAGGCCTACACTAAAGCATCGTTGCGGGGTTCATTAGACAACGAGGACGGGAATGCCACTCAGTTTCCTGATCTGCAGTAGACTGTTTGTACCTGGGAGGGGGCCTGGGTGATGGTGGTTTTGGCCTGCAATCAAACACACAACATAAGGTAAAGGTAAAGGTAAAGGTGGGGAAGAGCCTCCACAAGCTTAACTTCCCGGTTTTAACGTCTAGCTTTAGACCATTATTTGATCTGCCCGACGCGCCAAGTGCAGTACCCCCCACTAGTAGTGAATGGGTCCCGGGGAGGCCTGTGCCGAAGCCTTGGCGATTCTATTAGGCGTTCCCGAAGGAATTGGCTTGGATTGGCACTGAGCCGGTCAGCTATGCCGCGTTTGTCCTCACAAAGTTTCGACATGGGAGGAATCGAACCTGTGCCCTCTCGGAGGGTTTAGACACTAGCTCCAGCGCCTTTGCTTGTGTGGGCTTAAAGTCTGGTAAAGCAAGAACTAGCTTGCAACATAGACTCCCCGCCGAAACGGGACGGGAACCGGGCGAAAGCAGAGAAAGCAATAAAACAGGGGTGGAGCAAGGCGACATGCAACGCAGGCCTACAGAAAAAACGGTGATTGAGGGAGGAGCGACACATTTTCACACTCCTCTGCATGCCCAACAAGGGACAGCTTTTGCTTTACACATGCGACTGTGTGCACCTTGGAGGAGGCCTCGGGGGCTTGGGGGATGGCGGCCTCGGCCTGCAACATACACATGCCAGATTTCCAAATATTCAGAGGGGGAGCTATGACCTCAACCACCTCCAGCGAGCCACGACTATTCAGCATGCCGCATGTGTGAGCACAGCTTGTGTGGCACATGCATGTGCCACACAAGCAGCTGTGTGCACACCTTGGAGGCCTTGGGGGCTTGGGGGATGGCGGCCTCGGCCTGCAACATGCATTCGCCAAAATCCCAAATGTTCAAAGATCAGCACCTCCAGCGAGCCACGACTCCTCAGCATGCCGCACACGTGAGCACAGTAAATCCTGTCAAACAAGCAAGCAAGAAAGCATGCAGCAGTGCACACCTGGGAGGCCTTGGGGACTTGGGGGATGGCGGCCTTGGCCTGTGAGCATGGGCAAAGCAATCCGTAAGTGGAAATGCGGAATTAAGCAAAAAGGCTGCCGCAGCGCGCACGGAGCGCTGCCGCAGCAGCGCTAGCGCTGCAGCAGTAGGGATGGCACCTGGGGGGTCTGGGTGTCGCCCGCAGCGTGCGCCTGCACCATCGTGGTCAAGGAACTTTCGCTCAAGGTGAGTCCCTTTGTGGGTAACCCAAAATTGGTGCAGTCCTGGCCTCCTGAGGAACCGTTCGCGTCGCCCCGAAAACTCTTCTCACCCCGTGCGTTGTTCTGCGACGCCCGCCTCGATGGAGTGTGGCTGGTGCTCTTGAGCTCCAGAGGCGAGTCCTGCAGGGGTTTTTACCGTCATCGGCGAAATGGGCCCGCCCAGCGCAACCCCCGCGCGGGCGGCCGTTCGCACGTTACAACTCATTAAATAGCAACCGCGGTTCACCAGAGCTCAGCATCATCGCGAAGACCAGCAACAGCGGCCGCAGTTTCCGGCCCACGGTCTACGGTCGCAGCCACGGGACTCGGCGGCACGGCGTTTGGGCCCAAGCTTGCTGCCGCCGCCGCCGTGCCCGGGGGGCAGCGCGGCGGCGGCGGGGGCACGCTGCGACGCCCCCGTGCTGCCGAGTTGCGGCCGTAGTTTCCTGCCAGAAGCCCACGGCCACAGCCACGGGACTCGGCGGCACGGCGTTTCGGTCCACGGCTTGCTGCCGCCGCCGTCGCAGGGGTGCTGCCTGCGGCGGCGTCGGCACGGCGTTTGGGTCCACGGCTTGCTGCCGCTGCCGCCGCCGCAGGGGTGTTGCCTGCGGCGGCGGCGGTAGCGCACGTGGCACCCCCCCGCGTTTCCTTGCCTCCCATCCACCGGACCCCGTCCTGCGCTTCACTTTGTTTAGGGAGGGGCTGCTCACTGCTCATTGCTCATTGCTCATCGCACACTGCTCAACGCTCATTGCCCTATATCCCACCCAGCCGCAGGACTCTACTGCCGCCCGCGCCCCGCCCCATCTGGGCGCTTGCGCGCCCCATCCCCCCTCGATGGGGCCCGCCC